CCACCTTTGGTGTCATTATCAAATTTTCAACAGAACTTCTTTAAAATAGGAAGGAAGGCGGTTTTGTGGGCTTTATGGTACAAGAGTTGTGTTAACAGAATGGAAGATGTGAAGATCGAAGGTAAAGAGATGGCAGAAATAATTCAACAGTTTGCACAAACAGAACTCAGGGCTCAATGGGAAACGACGAAAACAGTTCTTATGAATCTAAAAAAAAAAAAAGATATTAAACAAAAAGTTCAAAAATTCAATTCAGACTGGCTGGGGGATGTACCAGGGAAGAAACTGGAAGAGGTGGTCTGGCCAGGAGAGGAAGGAGATCAGGTATCCTTCAAACGGGATTACCAGATCATCTTTCAAGACTGGTTTGACATCCAACCAGGAGCTACCTTGAGAGCATCTGAGTTTTTTCCGGATCTTTTTCCTCTTTCTCAGCTTGCATTAGTGGACCTTCAATGGTTTGGGGGAGGGGGAGGATGAGAGACAGTAGGAATAATTGGTGGGGTGTGATTGAGGGTCTACCAGGGTGCTGTATTATGCATATTTTTATTAGGAAACTACTAAATATATAGTCCTTTCATCAGGCGGTCAGAAAACTGGCTGAAGAGGCAGTCCATTCTTGATGCTCAACGGATGCTATTTATCGAACTCCATGAGTGTATTTCAATGGGACGCTGGACCCCTTTTTCAGCAGGTGATGCTCCCCACCAACAGACCGGAGCCCCATATGCGACAGGTAGGGGTGCATGCTCTTATCATCACTCCTATCTGTTATGACGGGTTTAAAAAAAAAAACGTTGTATTCTGGGGAAGAAGGGTAGTCCGCTCGGGGTGAGTGCGCACTGGCAAGGCAAAATGCAGTACAAATACAATGAGCTGAGCAACAGGGACCTTCAGGAATCATACCCTCACCCTCAGACCCTCAGGCTGAACCTTGCCCCGCCAAAAACCAAATCACACAGAGGACAAACTCCTATTATTCAAATTTGGGGAGATGATGATTCTGTTCTTTCCCCTAATGACCGAGGTTGATTCAACATCGTCTTTGTTTTAAAAAAAAAAAAAAAAAAAAAAATCAACTACTGGGCCTCCCTCCACCACTCACCACGTGCACAAAAGACAAAAAATATGGGGGTGTACCTTCCCATGTTCTTGGCAAATATTCATTCTCATTTTGCTGACCCGGTGAACAGTGGAGCTAGGCCCATTGTCTACTCAATTTTTTTTTTCAATTTCACACCTGCCATGTTTATTATTATTATTATTTTTTTTTTTTACACCCACCATTTTTTGCGCTTTCCACGTTTTTTTTTTTTTTTTT